GCTGATGATGCTCACTGGAAGGCCTCAAAGGTGGCTCCTGCGTGCGCGCAATGATGCTGGACGGAGGGACCAAGCGGGACGGGGCGCGCGTGCGCACGCATGCTCATGATGCTGGTCAGGGCGGGGAGGAGGGATCAGGGGACGGAGGGGGGGGTCGCGCGCCCCCCTCCTCGCGCGCGCGCGCGCCCTTCCCTGCCCCCCCGCCGAATGAATGAGTGAATGAATGAATGAATGATTGAATGATTGATTGATTGACGGATTGATTGAATGAATGAACGAATGAATGAATGAATTAAGGAATGCATGAATGAATGAATTGCCTGCGTTGCCGGACTCTGGGCGCAGCCCCATACATACCCAGAAGATGACATGCAGAGGCCTCAAGTCGCTGACATGACTTAGTGGAAGGACATTGCCAAGTGGAGCAGTGCCTCTCTCGGCACACAGTGGTGTCGGAAACTTGGTGCCTTCTGCAGTCTTCAAGTTTTGCAAGATTCGTGGCACAGGCTCGCTACTCATACGCCGCCCGAGGTGGCGATTTCGAACTGCTCTCGATCCTGGGAACTGCTCATGACGGTTACTACCCGTGGGGGCACCCATGTTCCGCTATGGTGCTGAGAAGACTCGCAGTGGTACGGGCTTCTTCTTGTTGGGCTTCAGGCGGATTAAAGTGGAGAGATTGCCTGGGGCAGAAAGTTCAATGCAGTCTGCCAGTTCCATGTGCCAGGCATCGCACGTTGGCTTGTGGCACATGCGAGCTTACTTAGCTAGAAGCCCGCTTTAGCAAGTCATGGCAGGCCAGAGACCAATCGGTGAAGACAGCTGAAGATGCGGTTGAGGAGGCGAGTGGTCGGCCCCGCGGTAATTTTGTAGCACACACTGTCCGGAAGTAAGGCTTGGAGAACCGGAGCACCATCGCCACCACGACCTGGCAGCCCTGCCTGGAGCTGTGCTGCGTGCTGTGAGCGTTTCAAACACAAGTGCTGTCCATGTCAGGTCACCCAGCATCAGAAGCTTCGCACGAAAGAATTCGAGGATGACCCGCTGGTGGCAACCAGTGTCAAATTTGCGCATCAAGTGTTGCTATCAAAGTGAGGAGAAAACCGCAGAGTCATCTGCATCGTCCACGCAAGACTCGAAGAGGAGGCCGGCAATTTGGGAGCAAGCCTTCGACTGGCACCTTTCTTTTCCAGCAAAGCGAAAGTTCACCCAAGCAACTGCAGCATAGGTGTACAGCATTCCATTCCATCTCTTGCTTCGCTTCTCTCGGAACTTTCAAAGGCCGTGCAGGTTTTCATTGTTTGCCCTCCCCTTGGTGAGGGAGCACTTCCCCCCCAGCCCATCAGATCAGAAAATTTGCCGTGGGTGCAGATGGATTCAGACAGGTTGGGTCGTCTGGGTCCTGATGCGTGGCAAGCGCTCAGCTTAGCTATTACGGGCAGCTGCTGGCAGAAGGTGGGCACTTCCAAGCAAACAAGTGATTCACCATGATACCAAGGTTGTTGCGCAGGCACGGGGTTTGTGTGCTAGTTCAACAAAAGTTCCACGAACATGTGGTAATTAGTCTAGTTGGGTCCCGTGACTGCACAACGTGCTGAACTTACAGCTGCATGTTGCGCACAGACTCTTACCATCCATGACTTGCTCTTCATGGCAGCTGCAGAAACCCAAGCTTCTCATCATACTGACATGAGCTCTGAGTTGCCATGTTCAGATAAGGTGTCGAAAGAAACCCTCACCATCGTCCAGGGCATAGTCTGCAAGGCAAAGGTGATGTCACTCCGGCACGTTTACCAAAGCTTGCTCTGCCTGATTATGTTGCTATCATCTTCGCTGTTGAACAACGGAGATGAAGGCTTTTCTCGGAGACTGCGCATGCATCTTCTTGCTTGGACGGGAGCTGCAGCGAACTCAGTGACGTCGCATTTTGGGATATGCAAGCTCGAATGCAGTCCAAGGCCTGGACTGGGACAGGAACCGCATGGAAGGAAGTGAATGTCCCTCTCTGCAAATCCGGTGGCTGGAGGCGGCAAGCCGGAAGGGGACACATGCACATTCCTCGCAACTGTGAGAGTTGAGGACTTCTTGTCTCAGCCGGCTGGGGAGCAGCTGTATGCAGACATTGGCTTTGTTGCCCATCTGCACTACTGCATGTCACGCCTCTCCAAAACACGCCAGACGGAATTCGTTAGATTTCAGGTAGAGGATTCCCAGCAGCTGATCTTCGGGAGAAGCTTGGAAGGCAGAAACGACCTTCCTTCGCTGCAGCTGTTACATGTGAGCTGTGCGCAACTGCGAGGCCTACGTGCTGCATTACGAGAGGCGCGTTTGAAGTTGATGCAACGAAAGCAGCTGCATGACTGCATGCGTCATGGTGTCGTGCAGGCATTGCCTGTTGCTTTCGGAGATCTGCACATGGAGGTTGAAGCCGTGCGTAACATAAGTGGGTTCCCTGGTCTGACTTTCGAAGTTGGTGCTGTCGCAGTGGGCGCTTCTCAGGCAGACCGACGAAGACCGTCCTGGACACCCTTCGAGCGGCCCAACCAGAGATCGTTGGCGTCGAGGCAGCCCGGAGCTGCGCCAGCTTGGAAGACTGTGATGGCTCCGCACAGGGGCTCGCCGTGCATGATCTACCTTCATGGGCCCACTGCGTGCAGCAGCTCACGCGAGTGTTGGGCACTCGGAAGAAAGTCTCAGTGGAAAGCACTTATGGTCTGCCGTGGCCCGGTTTCGGCGCGAGCAAAGATGCCATCCATGCCCGTGCACAGGTCTTTACATCGTGTTTGATGTGCATGCGTTGTTTGCACACGTTGTGTAGCATAATATAGGGCTTGGAAGTTGCGACGCGGCGATGAGCAAGTCTCGGCCTGGCGTGCCGTGCCTCGCCGGGGAATGGCGCCGACCTCCCAACGACCTGCAGGCCAGGCAGCCCGGAAGTGATGCTGTACTTGTCTGTGAGCAAAGCAGATCTTGGCAGATTTTGTGGAGGAACAGCAGGTTGGCGGAGGACACAACTCCATCCATGATGACAGTACAGCTGAGCAGGTTTGGACTTGCACTGCGACTCCTGGTTGTCACGGTGCTGGCCCTGTGCAATCCTACGACTGCGTCAGGTCGGTCTCAAGCTTGCTCCCATCCATGGAACTGCGGTCGCCTAAGCAAGCTGTGGGTTGTCTGCACTAGGTCGGTTACAGAGCGGTCTTGAAGTGAGGTTCACTGGTCCCAGCTGACGCCTCTCTTGCTGCAGGCCTGAGTTACCCCCCAAATGCGAAGGGCTTCAATTCCGCTGTAATTCGAAGTGTGGCAGGCATTTGGGCCGGCCTGGTTTGAGACTGGGTCCGTGTCCGTGCACTTCGTTAACATGGCGACCCGCTTGTGTTAGGTCGACCACTCATAGTTAAGTTCTGAAAAGAGGGCAGTGCACCGGTGGAGGGGATGGTGGATTTCGATCATGTTGGGCATGGTGCGAGACTCTGAGGTGGGCCATCGTCAGCCTGTTCGAGCCTTTATTGCGAAGCCCGACCCGTCGAAATCGGCGCAGCAACTTGATATTTGGATGGAGCACCTTGATGGCCCAGAGCTAAGAGAGAGCACCTGCAGCGAATAGCCTTAAAAGAGCCATGGCAGAGACTTTCGTGTGTTCGAATTCTCTTGCCCGAGACTGTAAGGACGACTTGTCTTTGAAGGAACGGCAAGCGTGGGCCTGCAGCCAGGTGAGATGACGACGATGGAACTTCACCTGCACTAGCTGCAGCAACAAGTGGACATGGTGCCGCCTCAAGTGGGCGTGTCAAAGGCACAGTCCAAAATCGCCCGCATGAAGCCGGTCTCGGGCAAGCTGCACTCTCAGCTGCCTATATACCCTAGCGGCGGTAGTTTTTTCGACAGAGCCGGGCCCGAGTCAAGGCTGCTTTTCACTCGTCATGATCCGGGCACTCGCAGCCTGGAGCCGGAATCTGCAAAGATCGAGTTCGACAAGGCCTTTAACAGCATGAGCACAGCATGCACTGGTGCCCTTGTTCATCTCATGCATGCTCCCGGAGAAGGTCATTGGTCCCTTGTTTCCGTTCACACACAGGAGGTTGTTCTTGCCGGCGTGTGGTTCTTAAAGGGTGCGTCGCAATTTTGAAAGTATTTGCAGGAAGCTGGAGATCATCACCGAGTTTCATCCATGGTTCAGCGAGGTCTCGGTTCCGGCTAGCGTCGATAACTTTCCGGCATGGGAAGCTTCCCCACCCGGCTCAGGAAGCTGGTCACACATCTCCGTGGGGCAAGCCGATCCTTCCCCCTGAGAGCCTTTGTCTCAAGCTGAAGTGTCGCTACCATGCAGCGTGAATGAGTGCAGTGCCGAACTGCTGATTGATGCCCGCCCACTGCCAAGGAGTTTCAATCAGATCATGCTGGGCGCGGTAGGTCAGGGGTTCGGTGCGCCTTTATACAGTTGCTAGCCAATCTTCGCCTGCTTTCACACAGAGCGGTACGACTGACAATGGTTCCCCCCAACTCGGACTACCGCCACGGGAAATTGCGCTCGAATCGAAGTCCAAAGCTCAAAGTCCCAACAATCGTCCTTCAGCGGACGGTTTGCAGCACCTGTGTTGGTGGTTTGGGGTTTGGCAGGAGAAGCAACAGGTTCAGGATTTGGGGTCTCTGTGGTTAAAGCTGGAGCCCTCCCCAGTCCGCTTGGGGCTTAGGGCTACAGGACGCATTACCCAGGCAGGCATCGCATGGCGGCAGCTAGCTACGGAATGGAGTTAGCCGACTTGCCCCGACGGCCGTTGGAAGCAGACCGCTTGATCGAGCAGATATGCCGTAGGTCCGGCGAGAATTGACTGGCGTGGTCTGCGAGTGATGCGTGCTGTTACGCCTTAAATATATGCATGGGTGGATTGCACCGCTGAGTGGAACCAAATCGACAGACAGGAGGAAGACATAATGGAAAGCACGCGACAAGCAGGGCCCCTCTGTCCTGACCCCACCGACATCCCCCCGCTTGCCCGTGCGTGCTCCTTGGGTTCAGATTCGATGTTGGACAACATGCACAACACTTCTCACAGTCTGTGAACTCACAGGCTTCATGTTTCATCGGAGGTTGAGGAACTGGGGCCCCCTGCTGCACACCTACACTATGTCGGTGCTCCCCTGAGGAGGATCTATCGGCAAGTGCGAGGCTACCCCCCTATCTGAGTCACCTCAGCCTCACCACAGTTGTGCTTGTGCTTTTCCAGTTCAATGCCAATGCAGCGTTGAGCGGCAAGATCACTGCCCACGTGACTTCGCATCCTCGTTTGTTGCATCTTTGTGATTTAGGGCTTTGTTGTTATGCTTGCCGCCCACATGAACTCCCTGCCACGGCTTTTGCCTTGACCGTCCGCTTTGCTTGTAGTCATGACGTTTCGGAGCTCCATGCCCCTCGTTTGCGTCTTCTCCCCCGTTGCGCCGGAGACAACATGGATCTCCCTCTCTCTCTGCCTCTCTGTCTCTTTCCCTCAGGTAACTTCTGTCTTTTGCAAAAAGTCGCACAGCGAGACCCACGTGGATGAACAAACGCTTTGACATGCAACCAAGTCTGTCAACCAAAGGTCAACAAAGGAATCATGGTAAACATCGCACTGCAAGCTGCACCAATCACACTGCTCTTCGTGCCTTATGGTGTTGGTTTGGAATTCGGTTTGGTCTGGATGCTGGACATCGCACACCAAAGCCAGACCCCACACCAGGCCACGAACAAAAAGAATCGAAACATGTTACTCGCGGTTTGATTCGAACAAATGCTGAAGCCCTCAGAGACTGAGCCAACTTCGTCCGGAAATCCAAATCGAATCACAGCTGCAAGCTACTCTGATGATCTCCACATGTGAAGTCCGACTTTGAGCTGGGACTGGCGGTGGAAATCGACGAGAAGTTGATGCCACCCCGCACAGTCTGGTCCCGAGGCTTACGTAGTCGAACTCGAACGGAGCGGAACATTTGTCACGAAAGCTCCTCGTGAGGGAGCTTCGTTCATTGGGGGTGGGGGGGGGGATTGGTGGGTTTTTTCGGGTATCCCCCAGCTGGAGCTGGACAAAGCCCCGTTGCCAAGGGGGCCTGTTTTGGCCAGATTTCTGT